GCATGCTCTGACTCTGTACCAGCAAAGCTCCCAGTTTTCACTCCCACAGAGAGCCAGAGGATACTTGGTACTGCTGACTTTTTTGGTTTAAATCACTATACTTCTCGGCTAGTCAACAGCAGTGATGGTGGGTGCACCCCTAGTCCTGACGGTGTGGGTGACTTCCATGCAACTGTGGACCCCACATGGAGTTCCACAGCTTCTGACTGGATCTATCCTGTTCCTTGGGGACTTAGAAGGCTCCTAAACTACATTTCAACAGAATACCTGAGTGCTAACAAATTACCTGTATACATAACAGGAAATGGGATGCCAACAGATTACAGTGTTGACAGTCTCACTGACACCAGCAGAATGGACTACATGAGAAGTTACATCAATGAGGCCCTGAAAGGTTAGTGTTGGAGATTTCCCCAATTTGAAGGCACATTTTTTTTAGAGAGAGAGTTAAAATAATTCAAATATAAATTTTGTTTTTGTTTGTTCATTTTGTAGCAACACTCACAGATGGAGTGGATGTGCAGCGATTCACAGTGCAGTCACTCATGGATGGATTTGAGGCAAACCAAGGCTACAGTCAAAGATTTGGTCTTCACTATGTCAACTTTGAAGTGGGATCCAGACCAAGGACCCCAAAGCAATCTGCATATTTGTACGCTGAGATTATCGAGCAAAACGGTTTCAGTTCACAAAAAAGTAAGAAGTTTAAAGCTGCAGAAAGGCCATTAACTCGACGTTTAGCTGCTTTACCACCCTCAGAAGTTCCATCTCAGGCAAAGGTAGTTTGGGAGAAATTCTCTTCACAGTCAAACTTTGATAGAAAAATGTACCATTATGGCACTTTTCCTGAGGGCTTCAGTTGGGGAATTTCTTCTTCGGCCTACCAAATTGAAGGTGGCTGGAATGCTGATGGCAAAGGTCCTAGTATATGGGATAGATTCACGCAGACAACTAACACTATTCCTGATAAAGCAAACGGCAATGTAGCCTGTGACAGTTACAACAAACTTAATGAAGATCTCTACATGCTGCGGGCTCTGAGGGTGAAGTCATACAGATTCTCTTTGTCCTGGTCCAGGATCTTTCCTGATGGCACACGTAAGTCCCTCAACCAGAAAGGTGTTGACTACTACAACAGACTCATTGATGGTCTTATAGCGTACAATATCGAACCCATGGTAACACTGTACCACTGGGACCTTCCTGAAGCTTTGCAAAAGGTCAATGGCTGGGAAAGTGCAGAGATGATTGACATTTTTAATGACTATTGCGACTTCTGCTTTGCTACTTTTGGTGACAGAGTGAAATTCTGGATAACCATTAACCAGCCTCAGACAATTGCATGGTCTGGATATGGACTTGGAAATATGCCACCAAATGTTGTGGACCCAGGATATAGACCATACATAGTTGCACACAACCTCATTAAAGCCCATGCCAAGGCCTACCATACATATGACGACAAGTATCGCCAGTCTCAGGGTGGTCTAATCTCCATAGCCCTCAACGCTGATTGGTTTGAACCTGCTGATGTCAACGTAGTCCGTGAAGTGGTGACTGCTGACCGGGCGATGCAATTCCAACTGGGATGGTTTGCACATCCTATTTTTAAGAATGGTGACTATCCTGATGCACTGAAGTGGCAAGTTGGGAACAAAAGTGAAATCCAAAGTCTTCCACAGTCAAGACTTCCTTCCTTTACTGAAGAAGAAAAGAACTTCATCAAGGGAACTGCTGATGTATTCTGTGTAAATCATTACACTACAAGGGTAGTGAGCTATTTTACAGCTGCACTTCAGCCTCACTCCTATGAATCAGACCAGGACATGAGAGAAGCAGAGGAACCTGATTCACCAACTACAGCCATTCCTAACCAAAAAGCTGTGGCCTGGGGCTTGAGGAGACTCCTCAACTGGATCAAGGAGGAGTATGGTGATCCAGAGATTTATATTACTGAGAATGGAGCAGCAGTAGAATGGGACGACTTTGAAAGAGTAATGTTCTACAAGACCTATATCGATGAGGCTCTCAAAGGTGCAGTGATATAAAAATATTTCAGAAGATATTTAACATTTTCCACCACTGCCATGACTGGTTGTTCATTTATTTTGTATGTATGTGTTTGCATTTGTGGTTACATTACAGCCAATAACCTTGATGGTGTGCGGTTGCGAGGATACACAGCAACAGCTTTTATGGATTCTTTTGAGTGGCTGCACGGGTACAAATTTCTATTTGGGCTGCACCATGTGGACTTCACAAACCCAGATCGTCCAAGAACACCAAAGTACTCAGCTCATTACTATTACAACATCATAAAGGATAATGGTTTCCCCTTGCCAGATGATGAGAAGATGCTTCATGGCCATTTTCGAGAGGATTTTATGTGGAGTTCTGCTTCAGCATCATACCAAGTAACTTATACTTCTACTGCAATTTTACTTTTACTCAATACTGTCTTGCTTCCCTTGTTTTCATCTTTTTAAATTTTTGTTTTGGATTTACTGTGTCCAGATTGAAGGAGGATGGAGGGCAGATGGAAAAGGTCTAAGCATCTGGGACAAGTTCGCTCACAGTCCTTCCAAAATATTAAATGATGACAATGGGGACATAGCCTGTGACAGTTACAATAAAATAGAAGAGGATGTTGCGATATTAAAGCAGCTGAAAGTCAGCCATTATCGTTTCTCCTTATCCTGGCCGAGAGTCCTTCCTGATGGCACCATTAATAACATTAACGAGGCTGGAATCAACTACTACCAAAGACTTTTGGACGCACTGCATGCTGCAAATATCCAGCCACAGGTATGAATAATTCCTTTCTGGCAAACAGAAAATCTTTGTGCCAGAAAATATACATGGAAAGTAGATCAAGTCAGCAAGTACAGCCAATTTTCCTTTCCTTTCCTTTCAGGTTACTCTGTACCACTGGGATCTACCACAAGCTATAGAGGATTATGGAGGCTTTTTGAATGACAGCTTTGTTAAGCTTTTCAGGGACTATGCTGACCTCATGTTTGACCGTCTTGGTGACAAAGTGAAAATTTGGATCACCTTTAATGAGCCGCTCGTTGTAGCCCGCCATGGATATGGCTTTGGAGACTTTGCCCCAGGTATGGTTTGAGCCAGTGGTTTCCAATTTTTTTTTCTAGGCCCCCTCCCAGCACAAACACATGATCCATCCACACACACACACACATATTTTGTTTTCAAATTCAATTGCGGTTTATTTCACACCTCAAACTGTTTGTGAAGAATTAAACAAATAAATGTAAACTAATAAATTACAGGTAGCAATAACATCAACTACTACCTCTTTTACACCACGTCCACACCTACACTGGTATTTTTGAAAACACAGCTTATTCTATGCATGTGGGCCTTTCGTCCACACGTAAACTGCAGTTTGGGTCACTGAAAAAGTATATTTTTAAAAACTCCTGCCATGGTGGAGATTTTTTTTATCAACAAAAACAGAAAATCTCTGTTTTCAGAAATACCCATGTACGTGTGGAGGTAGAAAAATAAACCATCTTTATGGTGTAATTATTGTATGTGTAGTTGTTTTGTTTTGGTCTTATTGTGTAAGAATATTCAACATTGCTATCAATACATTTTCCAAAAAAATGCCTCTCTGTGCAAAATGGGTTTAAAAACATAAACAACTGTTACTGTTTGTCCGTGATATGGATATGGGGTCAAGGTAAATATCTGAGTATTTTGAAATAAGCTGTAATCTGTACAGCAGTTCTTCACATTTCTAAACCATAGTGACAACCCCCCCCCCGACCTTGCAATAAAAACAATAACAACAAAAAAAACAGAGCATATAGGCAGCAAATGTGTCTATGTTTGTCCCCAGGAATCAGTTCAGGTCCAGACACTCTGCCCTACATTGTTGGTCACAACCTGATTAAAGCTCATGCCGAGGCCTGGCATCTCTACAATGACAAGTACAGGGCCAAACAGAACGGCATAATCTCCATCACAATCAGCTCTGACTGGTCTGAACCCAGAAATCCTTATAGACAGGAGGACTATGATGCTGCACGACGTGTGGTGGAGGTATGCCAATTCCTTTCAGATTTGACAAAAGAAAAATTAACAGCAGTTAGTTTCTAGTGACTATTATGTTTCTCTTTGTGCAGTTCACTCTTGGCTGGTTTTCCCATCCCATATTTAATGGTGACTACAGTGAAATTATGAAGACAAGAATAAGAGACAGAAGTCTAGCTGCTGGTCTACCACAGTCTCGGTATTATGAAGGCTATTATTAAATCACAAAAAGCTAATTCTGTTCACAAGCGTTTTTCACTAACAACACTACTTCCATATGAACAGAATCAACTTTTTGGGATTTCCTTATCTGGATGATTGAGCATCCGTCAAGACCCTATTATTAAATCTTTAAAAGTTTGTCTGTGATTTTCTAAGTAGCTCTATAGTATAATAAGTAAGTTTGGTTTCACTTAAATTTCTCCAGGTTGCCTGAGTTTACTCAAGAGGAGATTAAGAGAATTAAGGGCACTCATGACTTCTTTGGATTGAACCAGTACACATCTGTGCTGGCATTCCCTGTGGACCATGGAAATATTGCAAGCCTTGAGGCAGACATGTAAGAAGTTAACATTTGAAAAACAACTGTCTTCTGGAACTAATTCTTCTGAACAGCTTTGCTTCTTTATTCTGTGATTTACCAAATTTTGCCCTCCGCAGTGGTGCAGCGACAGTTCCTGATCCCACTTGGTTGGATTCAGCCTCCGTCTGGCTAAAGGTCACACCATTTGGTATCCGCAGATTGCTGAACTTCATCAAAAATGAATATGGAAATCCACCAATTATTGTCACTGAGAATGGAGTCTCAGAGCAGGGACCTATTGATCTAAATGATGTTCACAGGATCTACTACTATGAACAGTACATTAACCAGGTGTTGAAAGGTAACAAAAACCTCCCTTTATAAAAAAAATCTAAAGCCAGGAATGTCCTGGAGAGGAAAATAACATAATCATGTTTTGTGTGTAATATGGATGCTTTAAAATAGACTATGAATTTCAAGAATATGAAGGTACTTATTTTCTCTTCACAGCTTACTTGCTTGATGGTGTGGATGTGCGTGGTTACACAGCGTGGTCACTGTTGGACAACCTAGAGTGGGCTTCTGGCTTTTCACAGAGATTTGGTCTGTTCTACGTTAATCGCTCAGACCCTAATCTTCCTCGAGTGCCTAAGAGCTCTGTAAATTTCTATGCCACAGTCATAAAGTGCAACGGATTCCCTGAATCAGGAGTGCCTGAACCCAGAGTCTGGAGGTAAAAGAATGAAATATTTGCTTAGATGCCTACTTTGAATGATAGACCTTTAAATTAAATGTTCAAATAAATAACTAACTTACCTGCTGAAAAGCAGGTTAATTACTATCTGCAAATCTTCACAACTAATACGACAGTATTGTTTTTACTGTATCTCTTCTGCAGCAACAACCGCGCCAACAGCTGCACCACCAGTCAACATTAACAGCGTGAAATTCCTTGGTCTGGATCTCTCCGCCGATGATGCTGAGACTGGACTTTACACCACATTTGCTCTACTGATTGTTGCAGTAGTAGGAGTCATTTGTGTTTCTGTTTTCCTCTTTAAGATAAAAAAAAAAGTCCAAGAAAAGTGAACATGTGGACAGTATCAAAATGGAGTAAAAACTGTAACTGCAAATAAGCTGATGTGCAGTGTAGGCCCCCGTAAACAGCATTTGATTGCAGACCCTTAAAGACTGAAAAATACTACTAGGCTCATCAGACATAGAAAATTGTAAGTTTCTCATGACTTAGTTATTAAATCCTTGTACATTATAATTTGCTTGACCACTGCTACAGCATGAAGATTTGAGAATCCCCCAAAATGATTAAAAGTGTCATTTTATCCTGTACTCAAAAAACATAAAAGTAATTTATGTAATAAGAAAAACAATTTTCAGGTTATAGTACAGGATGTAACATACGCCTCAAATTTGAATAATGTTTTTGTATATGTTTATCAGATAATCAAATATATCAAATAAAACACTGCAAAAACATCCAGTGAATTATGTCATGATTGCTGTTAAATGTAAGTACCTTCTTCATCTTCAGATTTTTTTCTTCACTTTTTTGTACAGTGATAAGCAATTTTTGATGGTGATACTGTTATCTTGAAGTAATCAAAATTACACTGTGAATCAAAACAATATATCCATTATATTTATTATATTTGTTTAAACATTTGTTATTTAGCTATAAATCCAGTGGCCTCTGAAATCTCTTAAATCTTTGCAGTTTTTTACTTCAATACATTTGACTTCAGCGGTCTCCAGCAGTGTTTCACAAACAAGGAGCAGAGTAACACACTTTAAATTGTTCTTGTTAAAGAGACCTGATGAGAGTAAGTGTCAGGGTACTGTATCTGCTAAGGTTTGGACTTGTATTTGTTTTCCAGCTTCAGTCAGCACTCTACAGCCCTCACCACACTCCCTGCCCCTGGCTGATGCCCCCAGGCGCCGGTGCGTTGGTGGTTCTAAGTGTCTGGGGCTGGGCGCTCACGTATGTACTGGCTCACTCCTGGTGGCTGCTTGGGGGCCAGCGGGCACATCACTGCAGGCCCCTTTGGCTTCTGCTCCATGGCTGCTGGTTGACCCCATATCTGTGGCTCTTCTCAGCTCCTTCCAGGAGGGCGGCACGGATGCCCCTCCAATGGTCCTCCTTGGGCTTTTGCACTCTGGATGTCATGGGCCTGGATCTCCTGCATGCCTGCTTCATGTCCTGGGGGACAGGGCCATGGCTCCCTACATCCTCTAGCAGATCTGTTTTTCTTCTCTCTTTCTTTCTCCATTTCCAATCCTCCAGCCATGTCTGTCGGGGGATAGGAAAAAAAAACCCCAAAAAACAAAAAACTCTACAGCCAAGGCCAGAACCGAAAGGAGGAAAAATGGGCGACGTAAAGGTATCATTATGTTAATATTTATCAGAGTGAGAGAAGTGAAGTGAGAGAACTCTGAAGAATCTGGTGTTCAGTTAAAATCATTTTCAAGGACTGAAGGAGTCAAAAAGCTTTATTTGTCATTCGCATCACATGTTAACATGAGGTGGAATGAAATTATGTACACACGGTCCCGGAGTGAAAAGAAACAAAAATAATGAAGAAACAGAATTATTACATTTTTTTAAGTTATAAATAAATAGTTAAGTTTGTTATGTTTTTTTGTTTTTGTTTTTAACAAGCAGAAATGATAAGTAATAAGACATTACAATAAATAATACTATAACTAGAGTGCAACAACCTGAGTACCAGTATGGAGTATGGGTTTAGAGTGTGGGTATAAATAAATATATATATATATATTTTTATATTAAAGATTACTTACATTTTTTGTTTGCATGTACTATAAATTTGGAAAAAGTACAAAATAAAAAGTAAAAAAAAAAGATTACTTTCAATCTCTTAAAAACATTTCCAAAAATTAAAATAGAAAACCATTTTTTTATGCTGCTTCTCACTGCTAATCTCAGAAGCTTTGATTTAAACTGGAGTTGCTATGCTCTGCAGAAATCACAGTCCCACTATAGGTCACTGTGGAGAAGTCACATGTTTTATACAGAACAAAACAAACAAATACCCCCCCCCCCCCCCCCACACACACACACATGTTTAGAGTGTTTTGTATTGATGATTTGTGCTTTACTCACCTGAGACTAACAAAGTAATATAAAATATATTTTACCACCAATTCCCAGAGACATTATAATATTATATATATATATATGTATATATATATATATATTTTTTTAAATTTATTATTTTTTTTCCATGTGTCCATGTTTGCTTATAACTTATTCCAGATGCTTACCTGAAACAGGTAGAGTATAAAAGGAAGCCAGCTGAAAATAAAGTTAAAGCTTAATTGATTTTAAATATCATAGTTTGCAACAAATATCATGCCACGTTTGACCTCTGACCTCATTTTAACATTCATACATTATCACTATAGTTTAAGGCATTCGAGTTTTGAGGCATTAGGCTCAGACATTATCAGTGGGATTTATTTCTTTGAGATATGAATTTCTTAAACAAAGAAGTTTGAAAATAACTTCTTTGTTTAAGAACGAGACAAAATAGAATGAATATATCAACAATTTTATACTATTGCCTTAAAAGTAAATATTGTCCAGAGAGTGGAGAAGTAGCTTGTTGGAGGTTTGTACTCTCCAGGTGCTTCTTGTTTATTTATATTTTCCACCATGACAGAGCACTTTCTCCTTCCTCCTGCTGCATTAATCGTCCTTTGTCATCATGACCTTTGGGACATGTAGTAAACAATTAGGAAAACGCACCGTCATACTTTCTGCACATTTAACAACTGTGGGCTGCATTTCAAGAAAGATAAAACCTGTGTCCCAGAGTAATCTAATTTCTTATTATCAAAGTAATCAAATTTTCTAAGAACAACCTGAAAGAACATGTGCGTGCGCACACACACACAAGCAAAGATACTTAAACAAAGAAATTGAAAACAAAAGAAACTGACACAAAGTGCTTTACAGTCACCCTCATTTGTAATCAGGGTCTCCAAGAACCCAGTTAAAAAGTTGGAAGTAATTGAAAAAAAGTCAAATAAAAATCAAAATATAACCAAAATATAAATATATTATATCGTTAGCTTCATAGCATAAGTGCCTAGGTCATTTTTTGGTCAAATTGCATGTGATATTTAAAAATATGCATGTGATATTTAAAAATATGCATGTGATATTTAAAAATATGCATGTGATATTTAGAAAATTAGTTTTGTCTTGTTTTCCGAAAACACAAAAAAATGACTTAGGCACTTATGCTATGAAGCTAACGATATATAAAAATTCTAATAGTGGTAACACAGTCAACTAAAGCAGCAATAGGAAACATTTATAGTGAGCTCGACCAAACTGAAAATGTCTTTCCTTTAAAGATGATTTAAAATCATCACTTATTATAATTGTCTTTTATCTGTATCAGGTGGTAGATTTTATTTGCTGTAGAACAGAATAGAACCTTATTAAAACTTTTTTAATTTCCCCTGAGGGGAATTATGGTTCCAGCAGCACAACACAACACTAACTGAAATACAAATAAGAAAACAAAATTACCAAGCAGGTACAAATAATTAAGAATAGAACATTAAGAATAAAAAAATCAACAGCAGAATTTAAAATGGTAATAATGAAAGGAAATCCAGGAATTAAAGTGTAAAGCGTAATACATTAGCAGTGTGTTTGTTTGGTTATTTCACTGGGTTGACATCATCCACCCCTCCCCTCCTCTTCCCCCTCACCCTGAGTGCTGAGTTGTACAGTTTGATGGCTCAGGGTACAAAGGAGATTTTAGGCCTGCTGGTTCTGCTGCTGGGGAGGAGCAGCCCATCGCTGATCGGGAATCTCTGGGCTTTGATGACAGTATGCAGAGTGTTGCTGACGTCATCCATGTTTGGCAACAGTCCTGTTTTCTTCCACTGTCATCAAAGATATAAAAGCTTTAATTAGTTTATCTGAGTAATAGTGAATGGAATAAAGATAATTTTTATAGTAGGCTGTTATCAGTGGCGGTCCTAGCCTGTTTGGCGCCCTGGGCGAACACTCCCTCTGCCCCCCCCCAACACACACGTAAAACATATTAAGGATTGTACACATTAACATAAAACTGTTGTCGGAACCATACTGAATTTCACCAGAGAAACACACACACACATATATGAAGAGAGAGAGAGAGTATGCATAGTATGCAAACGGCTACCAAACAGCCATCATAATTCGTCATACAATGAAAACAGGACAAATCAACAATTGACACCGACTAATTAATATTAAAATCTGCAACATAATGTTTGAAGTTTAGTTTGTTACTGTTACTATTTTTTACCATTTCTTCTTGGAGCAACTGTAACCCACATAATTTCTTTAGGGATTAATAAAGTATTCTGATTCTGATTGTTTCAGGATGACCAATCACACATCTTACCTGCATCTTTTGCTTGTTTCTCCTCCTCTTCTTTTATCTTTTTTCTAAACTGAGCACCAGATGACTTTGAACTTTTCTTGTCCATCTTCCACTGGTTTTAATTTTGCACTCCAGTATGAAAACAAATCCCCCAACTCGAGGATCGCCACAAAATAAACTAACAGACCAACACCTTAGTTCACAAATTCACTTTGTCTAAGGTTTATTTCTGGGATTTCGCACAACCCAGGATTCAACTCATGAATACATAATGGATTTGGATTTACAACATTATGAATGAAATGTGCTCTTTTTGGAAGCAACATCGACGGGTTGTGTGTGAGACTTTAAATCATCAAAGTAAATTATAAATTTCAAATTGTTATTGATCCTTTACCCCGAGTCCTAAAGTGTATATTTATTTTCTTACTCTTCTTATATTTATTGTTTGTTTACTTGCACTGTTGTAACTGGATCTCTATATACTGCACTGTATGTAGCGGAGATGACAATAAAGTTTACTTTGACTTCAGCAGCGAGCAGGCGCACCGAGGGCTCTCGCGCTCACTTTTCGCGTACAGAATTTCGAAAAAACATCGGTGCAAATTATAAGTCTGTATCATGATGTCTGGTGTTTTCGTGTTTGTTGTTTTGTTTTTCTTTTCTTTTATTCTGCGAGCTACAGCCAGCCAGAGAATCCCCGCCGCCCCTTCCTCTCCTCCCTGTGCCACAAGCAGCAGGCGCACCTCGTAAACGGAGGGCGCCCTTACGCCCAGCAAATGGGCGATAGAAAGCCCATCGGTGCCTACACATTCGGTGACATTCCCACTATGCGCTGGCTGATGTCGGGGCGGCATGAGTATGATCATTTCTTTTTTTTTCTTTTTTTTGCCGATGCCCGTGATTCCGACCCCCACCACGATGCCGCCCCGGGCAACCGCCCGTGTCGCCCGTATCAAAAACCGCTACTGGCTGTTATAAACTTTGGGACTAGAAGAATTTGTCCAGAAGACTACGTGTGAGTGTGTGTGTGTGTGTATTTTCAAATTAAATTTTAATGTATTTTTTAGCTATGAAAATACCATGCTGGAATCTCTTATACTTTGCTATACACTATACAAACAAAATTGAAATGTATTGAATTGAATAGTTTGATGATTATAAAAAATTATGCAAATTTTTATGCTATTTTTATTTTTATTAATTTTTATGCTTTCACAAACACATGCCCTGTCGATCAACTATCATCATTTCTTTCTGAAAGTATTTTGCCATTGGAAATATATTTTCTTCTTCTCAGTTGCATTAATGTTTAGTACAGATCATGTTGCACTGACACAGATGCACTTTGCTGTCAGACCACTGCTTTTCAAATAAATTAAAGAGAAGCTTTCATGCTCATTTGCAGCTCTTTGTTCTCAGACTCTATTGCAGTAGCACTATCGAGAGTGTCCTGAGCAGCTGCATCACTCTGCTATGGTAACTGCATCGTATCGGATCTCAATACCCTACAACGGATAGTGAGAACAGCTGAGAAGATCATTGGAGCCTCTGTTCCCTCCATCACGGACACTTATAGCACCCGCTCCACCCGCAAAGCCGCCAGCATCATTGTGGAGGACCCCACACACCCCTCACACACACTCTTCACCCTGCTGCCTTCTGGAAAGAGGTAATGGAGCATCCAGGCCCTCATTACCACACTGCGGAACAGTTTCTTCCCCCAAGCTGTCAGAGTCCTGAGCACTCAGTGACTGGAATGACACACACACACCCACCTTCATGCACATCACTACCAAGCACTCATCTGTCTTATCTTGTTTTTTGT